CGGGACTGGGACCAGTAGGATGGTTCAGTGGGTAAAGGTCGCCACCAAGCCTGACAACCTGAGTTTGATCCCCAAGAACCCACAAGAAAGAGAGAACTGAGTCCTGAAGGTTATGCTTTGATCTACTCACACACACACACACACACACACACACACACACACACACACAATAAAAAATGTAATTAAAAAATAAGTGAAGGTTTATGTTCAAGTTTTTAAACTGAGCTCGAGAAAAGGTGATTTTAAGTTTAGAAATTTGAGGCCAGCAGGATCGTTCAGTGAGTAAAAGTGCATGCCATGAAAGCCTGATGGCCTGGTGATGGGAGAAAACCAGCTCTACAAAGTTATCTTCCGACCATCGTACTCAAACCATGGCACAAGCACTCACACATATATCATGCACACACAATAATAAATAAAATAAAATATTTAACAAAAACATTTAGAAATTTAAAACATATGACCAGACATGGTGGTGCATGCCTTTAATCCCAAATCTCAGGAGGCAGAGGAAGGTAGAGCTCTGTGAAATTGAGGCCAGCCTGGTCTACATAGTGAGTTCCAGGGGCTACAGAGAGGCCCTGTCTCAAAAAACCAACCAACCAAACAAACAAATAAAAACTATAGAGGCTGGGGGTATAGCTCAGCTGGTGGAGTACTTGCCTAGCATGCATGAAGCCCTGGGTTCAATCTCCAGTACTACATAAACAGGCTATGGTGGCATATGCCTGTAATCCCAGTGCTCAGGAGGCAGGAGGATCAGAAGTTCAAAGTCATCTTCAGCTACATAGCAAGTTGGAAGCTATCCTAAGATTCATGAGACCCCATCTCAAAAATATAAACAAACCTAAAAGATATTTTTAATTAATTAATTTTTTTTGTTCTTTTTGAGGCAGGGTCTCCCTGTAGCCCCAGCTGTCCTGGAACTCACTATGTAGACCAGGCTGGCCTTGAACTCACAGAGATCCACTTGCCTCTGCCTCCGCAGTGCTGGGATTAAAGGGGTGCACCACCACGCCCAGCCTTAATTAATTTTTATTTATGTGTATGCCTTTTTCCTGCAAGTATGTCAGGGCACCACATGCAATGCTCTCAGAGTCCAGAAGAGGGCATCTTATACCCCCAGAACTAGAGTGGTGGACTTAGCTACCATGTGGGCACTGGGAACTGAACCTGGAATCTCTGCAAGAGAAGTCAGTGCTCTTCACCATTGAGCCATCTCTCCAGCCCCCTTAAAACATTTTAAAACCACCAATTCACTTCTAAGAATCCACCTGAAAGTAAATTTTCAGTAATAAATAATACACATTTGCAAGTGAGTCCTAGAAACCTTATGTGTGTTGGGAACATTGGAAAGAACATAAAGGCCAATGGAGGAGCTGACTAAAACATGGTCTGTCTGCTAATAGTCCCATCCAGACATGAGTCCAAGAAGGAAAAAAAATTCACTGTCTGGATTTGGTTCTGGAAGGATGATTGGCATGGATTCTCAAATGAAGCACTAGAAAAGCATCTGGTCTTTGACCCCCTTCCCCATCCCCCTGCGTACAGAGCCCCTAAAGCCCTAGGGAGGCTCTTAGTAGTGAATTTTTTCTGTTATTAGTAGCAGTGTTTTGGGTCTTTATGCTTGATATCCATGCAGAGGAGGTAGTTCAGGCCAGGGCATCTTCCTGGCTTGAGAGATACTAGTCACCAAAAAAGCAGACTGGAGAGTTAAGGGTGGGCTCAAGTCTTGCATCTATCAGACCATGAAAAATGTGTGTACCCCAGGGTATGGAAATGTTGTTTACCTCCACCTGTGACCATAATGTCCTGTGTCACTCTTCCTTGTGGCTGTCCCTATGGTATATCCTTTATAACAAACAGTAGTATGAAATCACAAGGGTTGTTGTTTTGGGCCAAGCTCCTGAAGTAAGCTCAACAGGCTAGGCAAATTTAAATGTAGTGATTCACACCCGAAGAATAATGAGAACTGATTTTTCCTTGTTAGAGAGAGGAGTTACAAATATAGGAAAAGAGACTGGAATGACCCAAGGTTCTTCACTGGATTAGAGGTGTCACTATGAATCCATGGAGATTTTTTTTTCAGGGGTGGGGAAGAGCTCGTGTATATGTGTGTGTATGTGAGTGTGTATCCCAGAGGTTGGCAAAGGATCTCTTCCTTAACTGTTCTCTATTTATTTTTTAAAATATTTTATTATTTTTATTTTTTATGTGTATGAGTGTTATGCCTGCATGTAAGTGCACCAGTGTCATGTAATGTCCACGGAGGACAGAAGAGGCTGTTGGATCCCCTGGAACTGGAGTTATGGACAGTTGTTAGCCACCATGTGAGTGCTAGGAACAGAACCTAGGTCCTCTACAAGAGCAGCCAGTGCTCTTAACCACTGACCCATCTC